CTCATCCTTATTGTAACAGGCTAGGTCAATGCGGATTTCACTGGTAAACCAGACCGATCTGTACCCGACGGCTACATAATCTTTGCATGCATTTGTAAAAGACAGATTTATCAAGTAATTAATGCAGTTGGCTATCTCCAAACGCAATAAACTAGTAAAGAGGTTGCTGAAATCGGCAGAATATATGTGGCTAATTTGCAGTGGTAGTGCCTGGTGTCTGTATAACACGGTTTGTGAGTTAGCTACGCTAAAATAATATCTTTCTCCCTTTCGTAGAGCAGTTTTATTGCAATAATTTTGGAAATGGGTCCTTAAGATGTCCGAGAATGCGATGTAGGACAATAGACAACTCTTTTAAGGAGGACTTGTTAGCCGCCGCTATGAACCTGTAGCCATAGAGATTTTTATGTAGCTTAGGCACTGCATAAATCTTAGGTATGCAGTTGTTAATAGCAGCGGTGGTTGTTTGAAACCGGCTGCAAATGGCCGCGTGCAAATCATGTACCTGCTGGGTTGCTATGGTTACGGGACTGTAGACGCTATTGCCGCGGACTTTATCATTATCAGTCAGTCCTAGTTTCTTGCAATGTAGCATAGCACAGAACTTCTTGCAAATGATAACGTAGTTGTTGGGAGCCTTATCGACTGCTGTGACTACGTAGTCGCGGTGTAGAGCTCTATCAACCTGACTAATCCAGTGACATGCGTGTGGTGCTAGGACCAAGTTGTGCACTGTGCCAGTAAAGGAGTGTTAATAATGCGATTTTTGAAATTATGGAAACTGGTAGTTGGGATATTATTGCTATGGGCATACTTCTCCACAAAACAATCTAATATTGTGCTAAAGTCAAGAACTTCCTGGTAACTTGATTTTACCAACTCTAAATTTGGTACCTTTAGTCATTATATCTCGAAGTTGTTTATCCGAAGCGACTGCTAGACTGCCTAGAGGATAGATGTGTTCTGATCCCGCACAGCTGCAGGTTTTGGTCAAACATCTGCGTAATTCCTGTGGTTCATTATTAAGATCGCCCAAGAACTTGCTATGGTTAACAATGCATAGATGAACCTATTCCCTTAAGCTCTGGACATACTGCAGATTCGGGAATTTTCCAATAAAAGCGTGTCTGCATCAAGTAACATAAAAGCGGATATTG